TACAAATTACAAATATTTTCTCCAATTCTGTGTCTTGCCTTTTTGTTTACCTGATCATTTATAATGTTGTCAGTATCGTTGTCATGTTGTAGATTTTACCAAGATAAGGAAGACATCCCTTTGAAAGAAAATGTGAGCAGATGATGAAATCATAGCAGAATATGAACTTGTACATTCACTTTTGGAAGGTTCACCTGATCCTGGGGATTAGGTAGTGAGAGTGGAGACTTAATGAATTAAGGCATGTGGTGTTGAGTCAGAACTAGAGGACAATGGCTATGTCAGTAAAATATATCCGCAAATCTATTTTACTGTTGCCAAGCTGTAGAGACCTCTGTCTTTCCTTACCAGTCCTCAAAGGCTCTTTCTTCTCATACCTGCTCTTTTCCTTATTATTCTCCTGTTTGAAAAACCTAGCACGGTGTTGAACATCCCAGGAAGAAGGACTGGTTCTCAGTATTGAAACTTTTAAGTACAAGTAGCATAGTGACTTGATTATCATGGTAGTACAATAGTTAAAAAGGTTTTAGAAGCCTAAGGCTTTTGGTCCAGGGCAGGGGTTGGCAAACTATGGCCGGTGGGGTAAATCCTTTCAGCTTGATGCTTATTTTTAAAAATGAAATAAAATAAATAAATATATGTTATGTGTTTTCTGTGGCTGCTTTCATGCTGCAATAGCAGTCTTGAGTTGTTGCATCTGACCATCTGTCCTGCACAGCCTAGAGTATTTATTTTCTGGCTTTCTGTAGAAAAAGTTTGCTGACCCCTGGTCTGGAGAAACAAGCCCATTAACCCATAAGCAGAAATAAAAGGAATCCTTTCTGTCAGGGTAAAAACTTATGTTTCCTCAGAGACTCATAGGTACCATTCATGATAATAAAGGTGGCGCTATCCAAGAAACTGGGACTAGTCTTAAAGGTCTTGTCTCTTAAAAGTATAATAATATATTCATTGAAGTAGCATTGTGAACACAATACTCCTCACATCAGAAATAAGCACTTTTTGTAGAGTACTTAAGTAGTCATGTAGATGTATGTGGTTCTCCAGCAGCCTTCTAGTATATGTGCTGCTGAAGTGAGCACATCCTCTGACAGCCTTCTAAAAAGCACTTTATAAAGCTGCCTCCCTTGTATCTGGCTTTCCTCTTGTAGCCCCTGCCTGCCCACCCTAAGAGTTAATACTAGAAAAGAAAGAACTCGTTTAACGGTGTACCAGGATTAGGCTTAGAGGATGCAGAATTAACAGAGGTGGGAAGGGGGTCCAAAGAACGAAATCAAGAAATTTAAGACACCTCCTTTGTTGTTGGAACTGAGAGGATTAGAAAAATCCTACAGATGATCTGTCTTAGTAACTACCTCTTTCCACGGTACATAAGTAAAATGAGTAACATCAAGAATGCATTAGGTGAGTGAGCAATGCACTAGCTGAGTGAGCAATCTTTATACAGTTTGTGCCATGTAGCAAGGAATTTTTTTGAAAGGATGCGTTAGAGGATCCCATTGATTTCTAATGTCTTTTATCAGTGTCTTGCCAGTGTTTATTTTGAGTTTGTCTGCTGCACCATTCATGACTTCAGGGAAATGTCTCTAGTGTCCTTTTCTTTAATTCGGTATCTTAATTTTACTCGTCTTGCTGTTCATCACTTATTTATTGACTTACGGTTATTTGAAATTCGCCTACCTAAAAAAATGGTTTTGTATAATGAAATGTAATTTTTTAGGCAATGGCAATTTATTGAACATTCAAAACTGAGAAATACTAGTACCTTTTTTTCCCTTTATCTCTAGAGATGCTATCTTGTGGCCAATACTATTAAGCCTGAGATTCCAGCCTCCAGTCTTGTTTATTTTGTCAGAAAGTAACTCTTTCCTTTTATAATCATGACAAAGCCATTCTGTTAGGTATAATTAATTATGTCCTGGGAGTTGGATATGATGAGATGACTTAGTTTTCAATCATAATTCATGTGAGGACACATTTCATATTCTCCTTCTCAATTTATATTAATTAGAAAAAATCAATACTTAGTCTTTTCCTTAATACAGAGTAAAAACAGGATTATTAATTAAAGGCACATTTTATTTTGGACCTAAAGGATAACTACATTATCGTTTTAATCTTAAATGAGATATATGTAAAATTGTTACATATGGTAAGGATATTTGTACAAATTTAGGATATTCTTAATCTTTATAAACCAATGCTAATATATGCTTCTTTATGTTTTGGTTATTTTTGAAGATGCTTTTAGTAGGTTATTATACCTTAAAAAATTACTAAGTTCTTCACTGAAACCTTAAACTAAACACTTTTTAGTGTAATTTTAACTGAGTTGTTTATCCTCTAAATAAAATTTGTTTCCTTTGAAGTGATACTAGTTGCCAAGTCCAAAGATTAAGGGGAGACAGAGAATCTGTTCTTTTGGTGGACTTATATTAGGAAAATAGTATGAAGCCTTAATACAGTGTTAGCTTGTTCTGACCTGAGCATCTTCTTAAAGTTAGTATGTAGACACAAGCTTCTTAGGAAAAAAAAAAAAGCACTGTTGATGAAGTCATTGCACATTTGTTAAAATTATAGCCTCCTTTTTCATAAATGTACTTTATGCTTCGTTTAAATTTTTAAAATTTACAACTTGTTAGTCATTTGTTTATAAAGAAGCATTCAGAATTCTAGATTTATATAGTAATAAAACTACTCCGTTTTTCCAGCTTTCTTTGCCTAAAGAGCTTTTTGGAGGGCATGCTTTATTTTTATGTTTCTGTTTATTTAAAATGCAACCATGTTTCATAGGAGACATCTATACATAAAAGATAATACAGTTGTATAATGACTTAATGTTCTTTTACTGTTCCATTTGAATATTAGAAGGAATAATATCTTTAGTCAATTTCAGTTGCATATAAATATTTTTCATATTCAGTATTCCCCAAACAGGATTTCTATTATTAAAAATCTGATACAATGCTTAATTACTCAGAATATATTCTAATAATTTAAATTCTATTGAATATAATATTGTTATTTCTAAAAATACACACACATTAGGTAATATAAACACCTGTTTTTATCTATTCAGATCTTACTGGATTTCACACATAGTAGCCAACCCCTGCCAGCTCTTTGTTACTCTGTGATTTAGTCATTTACATGGATTTATAATTATTCTGCATTTATGCAATCTGATTTTGATCAGATGTTTCTTTTTTCTATTAATGTAAGCTAATTGTAGCACAGCCGATTTTTCATTTTCCATTTTAAGAGAGGAAAGAACACAGCATAAAAAATTATAATTTAAAAATAATTTTGAAATCTCAGGCGTATTTTTAATTTTTATCTTCACTAACAATTTCTGCAACCACCTTATCACTTCAAAAGCTTTTCAGTAATACACCTAACAAGAAGCCAAGTGGACAGCTTTTATTATTTCATTTTAGTTCATGAATCTGGTTTGTATTAGAGGTGCTAAGAGTGAACGATTCATGACTAAAAGATGAGGGTGGCATGTGGGGGTGGTAAAAAGCAAAGTTTTAGATAATCCACATGCTGAATAATCCTCCTTGAAAAACAGCAAATGAAGAAGACATTTCACAGAATGCTTTTTATATCATTTGTCGCAGGAATATATTATTCTGACCAAAAAAAATGCTACTACAGAAAACATAATAAAATATTTGCGTCTTCTGTCTGACCCATAGAAAGTATTCAAGTAATCTTATTTAATACTTTTAAGATTCTAATCCTTTTAAAGAATGAAGTGATTATTGAAATGTTCTGCAATCCCTTAGTTACAGTATTAGTATATTATGGGGTCTGTTACTGTTATTTTTCAAAGATTTCACTTAAATAGAAGTCTTTATTGTATACCGTGTTTCCATTATAGTCATCTAAGAGAGATCTTTTAGCCCTACCATGTAGTTGAAATTGCCCTTAAGATTTGTCATATTTATAACATCAGTAGAAAATAATCAAAAGCATCCTGGAGTAGGCCCCAGTGGTTGCAGTTACATACCTCATCTCATTGCCTTACTGGAAACTTATATATATATTAATTTCTTTATGCTCCTTACCACTGGTAGGGCTACCATGGGTTTGTCACGGTGAAGAATGCATTTCACACAGTCTCCAGATTTTTAAAATTTCACTATCAGAAACCATTTTATCTTATAGAGTTCATTTTAAGAGTTTTTTAAGCCTATATTCTTTTGCAACCAATGTAATTTCTAAACCTTTTATCGGTTTTGTAGAGATATTTGGTTACAGCAAATGGTGTTACTAAATTTTTTCATAAAGTTCTTATAGACTCATGCAGTTAGTAATGCTCATTAAATATTGTTAATTGTCACCAATGTTATTATAACTTCATTCATAGAACTTCCTTAGATCCATTTTGACACTTCATTTTTTCCTAAAAAAAAACAAACATAACGGGTATTAAGGAGGGCACTTGTGATGAACACTGGGTGTTGTATGTAAGTGATGACTCACTAAATTCTGCACCTGAAACAAGTATTACACTGTGTTTAAATAAACAAAAAGGGCAAAACTAAATAACAAAACAAAAAAACCCCAAAACTCTCTGAAGGTAATCTCAGAAATTTGTTGTCTTGCAGAGCTGTCTTAACATTTAAGCAGCTTTCCAAATGGCCATTCACCACTTGCAAAGTGGTCAGGTGCCTTTTAAACATTAAATTCATTCATGTGATTGCTTCAATTGAGAATGTCCTGGGAGGAGAAAAGAGGAGACTGGATTGCAAAGCTGACTTAAATCCCTTACTGTTAAAACCTGATTATGTACGTTGACATTTTGCCCCACTGTTCAGCATTCCTTTTCAGTTCACGTCATGCTGAATTACAGGCAGATCATTGTTATTAAAATATTTGGAAAAAGTCTATAGTACATTTTCTTAAATTGTAACAAGTTTGAAAAATGTAGTGTTTCCTGATGGAAAAATTCTGAGTATTCTAATGGCTTTTTAAAAAAATCATTTATTTGCTAGGTAAGTTCTCTTCTACGCTTTATGAGACTGGTGGCTGTGATATGTCACTTGTGAATTTTGAACCAGCAGCAAGAAGAGCATCCAATATCTGGTATGTGTGAAGTCATATTAGGAGAATGTATGTACTTGCATATATTTGCCATGTTTAAAGATTTTAGGCCTTGAGATGGAAAAGTTATTTTGAAAACATTTGTTCATATTGGCTTAAATAATTTGTCACTGTGCATTTGTCTCCAAAGATTTAAGGTAGAATTTATTGTTCTGGAAAAAAGAAAGCATTATTCTTAAAACAAAAGCTGTTCTGTATTTTAAATATTAAGTAAAAATTCCCTGTAGATCTTATAGTGGGGGGGGTTTTCCCACAATTTCAAATTTAACTATAGATTTTGTGCTACACACACGCACACGTGCGCGCATTGCAAGATCAATAAAAAGCGATTTAAAAAAAGCTTATTAGAAAAATTAGAAAAGGTCAAGTTATCTTTTTAGATGATCATCTTTTGTTTTAAAATTTGTTTACCAGCTTAAGAAAGAGGAATTTCTTAAAATATGGGTCATAATATTACATTTAGTTTCTTTTCTCTCCTTCCCTTACGAAGAAATTACACTGTAAGATAAGGAAGAAGTTAGGAGAAAAGCAGATAAGAAATAGAAATCTTGAGCATGCAATCAGTTATAACTTAGAATGTATTAAAGTTTTTTCTAAAATATTAATCTTATTCACCTATTCAAGTTGTTGCATTGAAATCCATTATTAAATGATTAGCTCACTTTTTTTGCAGGGATCATTTGAATCCTATTTTAGGATTTATGTTTAATAATGGGACACACCTATTTAAATGTTACATCTATGGCAGTTCACTTACTTTTTTAAAGTTTTTAGGGGCCATTTAAAGCACTAGGATCTTGCAGTCACTTAGCTTAACTTGCTGGAGAGATAGAACACTTGCTAAGCTTCTTGAGTCCAGTTTCAGAACTGACCCTGTCAAGAATGACCCAAAATTCAAGTGTTAGGTGATTTCCTAACAGTGGAAACAATAGAAAGATGGAGCAATGGAAACAATTATGTTTAATGTAATTTAAGATAAGAACAATTCCTTACACCATAAACGTGGTAAGGTGTCAAGTTTCAAAAATCTAAACTTGACTGTGGAAGCGGAGTGGTCACATTCTAAGCTGTTAGAGCTTAAATTTGTTGTGGCTGCAGGCAATGTTAATTGCTTTCTTAAACCCATCTCACAAGAACTTTGTGATAAGAGGTGCTATTATCCTGTGTTACTTAGGTGGAAACTGAAGTGTAAAAGGTTGGATAACTTTCCCAAATCTCATTTAGCTGATGAAGAGATTTGAATATAGATACTCTGGCCCAGAGGCTGTATGCTCTTAATCACATCTGTAGGAAAAAGCGATTTTGTATTTTGAAGTACTTGGAAAAGTGAAGACAGTAAATACCACATAATTGTTAAAAGATTTATTTTTCTTTCTATTCCGTGACAAGCTATTTAGTCCCTAAAGTTTTTTTCATTTTATTTTAGTGACACGGATTCTCATGTATCCAGTTCTACCTCAGTTCGATTTTATCCACATGATGTGGTAGGTTTTCCTTTATTTTTATAAAATAATGTACATTCAGATTAAGTAGCGACACAAATCAGAAAAGTTGAGGTTTATAAAATACCAATTTTGTTGAAAACTATGGCACAATCTCCTTTGCTGTTCCATAGTGGCTCTCTTCTTGTTAAGTCCTTTGTTAGGAAATAAATATAAAACACCATGAAGTTTCATAAGCTGTGTATGAATCAGTAATTATACTTTTGAGAATATGTAAAGGTCCATTTACTCACCAATGTCATAATCTGGTTGTGCCATCTTAAAACTTGACTTTGAAAATTATGATTTTGAATATTATATTATCTGTTAACTGTTAAGTTACTCATATACCAGTGTGTGTGTGGGAAGCTTAGTGATGATATCGCTGTGTAAAAAATACACCATGTGAGATACAGTGGGGATATTTTAAAAAGATAACACAGCTTTTGCCCTCAAGATGTATTTGTTGAACTTAGAAAATGAAATTCTTTTTTTAAACTTATTTTATTTAGATTCAATTAGTTAACATATAAAATGAAATTCTTATATGGAACACGTAAGAAATACATGCAAATAAATGTAGTGCCAAAGGGGTTAATTATTAGTGGCTTCCTGAAGATGATTAGTTGTGAGCTGGCTTTTAAGACCATCGATGTGAGTTGGCACAGAACAATGGTTTTCAACATTTGGCAATGTCTGAAAACACTTTTACTTGTCACAACTAGGGGAATGTTACTGCTATCTAGTGAATGCGTAGAAGCCAGGGATACTATAAAACGTCCTACAGTGGACAGCAGAACCCCCAAAGAAAGAATTATCTGACTGAAAATACCTGTAGTGCCAAGATTGAGAAACCCTGGCATAGAGGATAAGAAAAAAAGTGTTTGGGGTGGTACTTGTCAATGCTAAGAGATAAAAATGGCTATGTTATTTATAGGAAGCAGATTTTCTTGACTATACCCACATATGTGTTTGAAAAGTAAAGATTGTCTCTGCTTTTTTGCTGGAGTGTATTCCTGGAAACTTCATAGGAAAGCCAAAAATAGGGAAATGATTGTTTTTTTTTTTGTTTGTTTTCTATGATTGAATGGTATGGAAACACTGGGATAGTGAAATCCTGGCTAGGGCTGTGCTGGATAAGGGAACCTTTAGACTCTTTCAGAGAAAGGGGAAACTGGTGAACTGTTGAGTGGATAAATTAAAGCTAAAAGAAATGTAATGTGGTAATTTCCTTATAGCCTCGGATGAGTAGCCTGCCAAAACAAAAGAAAAAAAGGGGGTGTAAGAGGGATTTTAAAACAACAGTGATAAGAGACTGTAGGAAGAAATGACAGTTGAAGGCATTGAATCCAATTCAGAGGAGCTTAGATTTAACATGGTAATGAGGTTCATAGCTTTGAGAAAAGGCCATAAATTTGGCAGGGAGCAGAGAAGCCACTAATGATTCACAGTACGTGATTTTAATGGATTCACTAGCTGTACAATCATACAATGTTAAGATTTCAAACACTTTTCCCAATACATCTTTTCCAAAAGACCTATTGATTAATTTGCTTTAAGTTTACTTCCTATTATCACCTTTTGTAGTTTCTAATGATCATAAAATATCTGTAAGGAGTATAGAGAATTAAGGGGACTTAGATAATCTGCAAGCTGATTGAGTAGCCCTTGAATCATGACTTGATTAAATCAAGATTTTTAAGCCTTTCAGTGCTGACTTTCTTTTAGCTCTCTCTTCCGCAGATTCGATTGAACAGACTATTGACCATCGATACAGATTTGTTGGAGCAACAAGACATTGATCTAAGCCCTGACTTGGCAGCTACTTACGGTCCAACAGAAGAAGCTGCTCAAAAGGTTAAACACTATTATCGCTTTTGGATCTTACCCCAGCTATGGATCGGCATTAACTTTGACAGACTCACACTTTTGGCCCTGTTTGATAGGTGAGAATACAGTGTGATATTAAAGATATGTGCAGATTTTATTTTTAAATTGAAATGTCCCTAATTACCACTTGGTTACCATTTTGGAAAATGTTTTCTATTTTGGTTCTTTTGAGATAAAATTTAAGTTAATAGGGCTCCCAAATATTGACTCTCTTCAATTAAAAACTTTCTTGTGGCAATTTTAATATGTTTATACAAAAAAAATCCTTTTTATCATCAGTAAGAATCATGGAACTATACTTAAAAGCCAGAAAATATGAAGTGTTAATGATCATAAGATTATAGGTAATATGACTCTAAATATGAAAGGTATAAGAGGGAACTTCTGTTCCCTGTTTCGTAGTACTAGTCTTAATAATGAATAGTATTAGTAGTCTATTAAAACTTGGTGCTTCCTGTTGACTGGAGTAACAAAGATTGGATTAACTCCTATCTGAAACAACAAAAAAGAGACAAAATGCATGAACCAGTGGTTTTCAGGACATTGGAGATAAGAAAACAGGACAGTGATTCCTGAGAGATGGGAAACACATTATGTGGGTCCTACAGTTGCCCCAGCTTACTGCCTTGAGATAGTTCCCAGTCTTCCTCGCTGGCTCCTACACAGGGCGGAGGTACTGAAGTGGAGCCCAGCAGACTTCCTGAATTAGATGGAGCTATGAGTCCAGGGACACCCAACACAGAGTATCAGAGAGAGGACTGCTATTCACAGAGAACCTCAGAGTTCCGCAGCGGGTCTCCACAACTCTTCCACAGAGTACAGATAAGTGAATGTATGTGAAGAAACTACCTGAGGCCGGGGTAAAATCATGTGAAAGAAATAGATGGGCAGGACCTGACACACAGGGATAGGAATAACGCCTATTCCCAGCTGTCTGATTGAAGAAATTCATAATTCATATATTATGGTGCATTATGTTGAGTACTCAGGAAAGTCTTGCCTTAAAAGTGGGGAATAGTTAGCCCTAACATGGGCACTGCTCCAGATCCAACAAACAAGTTATAAAAGCAAGACCTAAAATGATCAAACTGTTTCCAAGTAGCATAACAAATTTTAAGAAGATTTATAGAAATCTGAAAATTGTCACCACCTAAAGATTTTGACAGTGGCATCCAATCAAAGGATTCGCAGTGACATCCAACCAAAGATTACCAAACATGCAAAGAAGCAGTAAAACATGATTTATGAGGGAAATAATCAAAACCAATCTGTAATTGTCACAGATGTTAGAATTAGCTGTCAAAGACATTAAAACAAGTATAACTGTACTCTATATGTTAAAAAAGTAGAGACATGAAAGATATTTTAATTTATTTATTTCAGAGAGCAGGAGAGAGAGAGTGCAAGTGGGGGGAGGGGCAGCTCAATTAAATTAATAAACCTTTAGACAGGCTGATTAGGGGGAAAAAAAGAGAAAAGGTACAAATTGCTTATAACAGGAATGAGATAGGATATCACTACAGATTGTACTGGTGTTAAGTGGATAATAGGATATTATGATCAGCTGTGTGTACATAAATTTGACAATGGACAAATTTCTTTTTATTTTTTTTTATTTTTTTTTAAAGATTTTATTTATTTATTTGAGAGAGAATGAGATAGAGAGCATGAGAGGGAAGAGGGTCAGAGGGAGAAGCAGACTCCCTGCTGAGCAGGGAGCCCGATGCGGGACTCGATCCCGGGACTCCAGGATCATGACCTGAGCCGAAGGCAGTCGCTTAACCGACTGAGCCACCCAGGCGCCCCGACAATGGACAAATTTCTTGAAAGATAGAAATCATCATAGTTCATTCTGAAAGATACATTACCTTAATGGTACTATATCTATTAAATAAATGGAAATTGTAGTTAAACACCTGTCTGTAAAGAAAACTCCAAGCCTAAATGGCATCAAAATAATATCCCAAATCAGTTAAGTAGAGAAATGGTAGGCTTTTCAACAAATGGTCTTGGGACCATTGGATTTTCATATGGAAAAAAAAAAACTTTTATACTTATATTGCACCGTTTATAAAATTATGAAAATTAACTCAAAATGGATCATAGGTCTAAATGTAAAATCTAAAGCAATAAAATTCCTAGAACAAAACAAAACATAGTAGAACATTTTTGTGACCTTGGGTTAGGCAAAATTTTGTAGATGTGATACCAAAAACAACAAATGAAATTGATAAACTGAATTCATCAAAATTAAAAACTAACAAAAGCCTAAGGAGAGCGTACATTCAGTGATGAGAACTACAGACAGTATGTAATATGGCAGAACTGCCGAGGATCATGGAAACAATCTGGACTTCTCCAACTGCCGTAGAAAAACAAATGAGAATACCAGTTACTGATTTGAAAGTACTGTTGACTTGTTTTCGTCTGAGAGGACTATAAAATGAACTAGTACGGAAATGTTTGTGAATTTTCTTAGGCCAATTGATGATTGTAAACAGGGCATTGACTTAAAAAAAGTTAATAAAAAATTTTATGGTTATAAAAATAATTCTTTACCTATTCTAGAAAATTTAAATATGTATAGGAAGATTTTAAGACAAGAAGGGGCCAACCATAATTCTACCCAGAGAGAACCGGTATTAGTAGTATCATTTTGATATATTGTCTTTTTTAACCCATATGTATATGCTTTTAAATAACAACTTGTATCTTCCTATACATAGTTTTATGTCCTGCTTTCTTTGTATAGCAAATATACTGAGTATGTTCCCATGTCGGTAAATATTTTTTAAAAACAAGACTTTTAGCAAGTATCTAACATTTTATGAATAAAATTTCCCCAACAAGTAATGAGATAGATTCTTATTTTTTGGTATGACATATAAAAATCATCTTCATTGCTGTATGTAATATCTGGGTCATCATATTGTTTAATCAGTTTAATGAAATATAGAACTGTCTCAGCAGCTTTGATAGAGGCAACATTGATGGTTTTTATTACTGCCTTCATTTTCAATATATGTAATAGCCTGTATTTAAGTAATTCTAGTAAATTAGTTTTGAGATTATTTCAGGTGATTTCAAGATGTGGAAAATGAAATCACTTGGTATCAAAATTTGGTTACAAACTTTGTCATATAAAATAACTTTCCATTTTGATTTTCTAGAAATTGTTTGAGGTTTTGTTTTTTAAACGTGTTTCTTTGCATATCTCCTTTTATTTGCTATTCAAGTTGGTTAGTTATTCAGCAACAAATGTTACAGAAAAGCAGATGTTAAAGAAGAGTAAACTTTTGAAATAGAAATTAAAACTAATATATTATGTCTTGTAATTAGAACTTCAGTTACTATAGCATGCTTTATCTGCACATAAGGTTTTGTGTTAATTTTCCATATAAACTGGTTTTTTTATCAGTATCCTCCAAAACCTTATTCAAAACCAGTACCAAAAAAGCATGTCAGCAAGCAAAGTATGAACTTCTTCATGATGTCTTCCCTTTTTTCACTCTAATTTCTTATATTGATGATATACTTACTCATAAATTTTTCTGTCTACAGAAATCGTGAGATTCTGGAAAATGTGTTAGCTGTCATCCTGGCTATTCTTGTGGCTTTTTTGGGATCTATTCTTCTCATACAAGGCTTCTTCAGAGATATCTGGGTCTTCCAGTTCTGCCTAGTGATAGCCAGCTGTCAATACTCACTACTTAAGGTACCAGCATCTCTCTTCTTTTCAGACTAGGGAATAATATTTGTGTTAAAAGGCAGAGGTTTTGTATCATTCATTGCATTATAGTAAGATGTTAATTTTTAGATTTATTCTCCCTAGATGTTTACATTAGATTGGATAGGGAACAAAAGGGACATATAAACTTTAAAAAATCATGGTATGTAAATGAAGCTTCCTAAGAACTATTTTGGGGGGGGGGGCTGGTATTAAAAGAAAATATCTGAAAAAAAAAATATCTGGGCATTTGTTAAAAATGAGAATTAACATTCTTGAAATTCATTTTAAAAATATGAACATCAACTCTCCCACTCCCATATTTTAAGCCTTCTATTCTGTAGATTAAATTTATTAAAATCCATCATTGTTTGGATATAGTAATGTCAAGACTAGTATATATATTCTTTGGGACACTGAAAGCAGAAGATTGGTATCCCTTTGCTATTTAAATAGTAGCTCTGAAATGCCAGATGTTACTAATTTTAATCTTTCTAAAAATGGAAAAAATCACATACCTCATTTTTCACCTTCCATGCAAAATCAGTACGGACTGTTAATTTGGACTGTTTCCTTTTCTTCTGAGCTAGTAAAACTCTTGCTTGTATTGGTTATCTGCCCAGTGTATACTAACATGCAGAACTCTCCCCAGCCT